GACAAAAAGTGTTCTTGACTTTTTGATGTATGTTCTTGATGTATCATTAATCCATCTCAAAAACATTTGCCCCCATCAAAGAGGCCATAGTAACACTGACTTCTTACATGAAAAAATGAAAATACAAAATGTAGTCTTTATTTATTTCTGCTATATAATCTTAGCACACGGTGTCACTGGGGTTTATATGTGGTGTTTCAATGCAGCCTGCTCCCAGATATGGTTCGTGAGCGGCCGCATGAAGCAGCGGCTGATTTTAAAGTGATGATTTAAAAGTGTAAAACTGAGAGCTTTTCGAGATCTCTTGCTTGCTGAAATGTGGTTGTCTTTCTTTTCTAGATTCCCTCTGATGGAGCTGGAGGACTGGGGCCTCCTCAGTTGGACTGTGAAACAATCGCCACCCCATGCCTGCGAGATGTGTCACATGTGTAAGAAACAAGTCTAAACTCATCAGTACACCCAGAAATTGAAATTATGAGCATATACTTATTTGGTTTTCTTAATCATTTTTAATTGTTTATTCTAGGCTGCAGATGTATTTACCTGGATGTGTCGAGCCAGAATTGGAAGACATCATTTGCCCTCCGTTACAGAGCTCAAACGTCTCAGATCGTCCAAATACACTTCCACAACCTTTTAATTGTGGCACGGCTTCTTCAGAGGAGCTGATAGAGGAGGAGAGGTTTTTCCTCAAGTTGTTTATTGAGCAGTTGGTGGCTCACATTGAGATAAAGACCCACACACCAAAAAGCAATGTGGACTTGAGTAAATTAGAGGCACGTGTGAGAGAGAGAACCCCTCTTGACTTACGGTTTACTGACCCAAAAGCCTTTGACAAAATGCTCATCCCCATCTACAAAGACCTTTGCACACAGTTTGGCTCCAAATACCTTCTGCTTGCTGCCCTGGACTCTGGGGATGTTGCCTTTGAAGCAGCTGTTGCAGAAGGACTGAAAACACGGCTAACAGCGTGTGCACGGAAACCTGACAACCTGTTGAAGAGGCTTTTCTCCAAGAGGTCATCCAAGGTTGCTCCGTTCAGAGATGTGAAATCACGTCACACTGATGAAAACAGCCAGGACGATGGAAAACCGATTCCATCTTTGATGAAAAGAAAGGGTGATGGTGTCCGGAAGAGGCTGTCCTCCATGGCTTCTGCTGTAAAAAAGAGATTTGGTGACAACTTTGTCACCAGCGAATGCCAAAAACGTGATTTCTTTAATGGCAAGCCTCAATTTATGATTGCCCCCCTTCTCTAATATTTATCCTGAGAGATCTGAAGATGAGCTATTAAATTTGTCTTTTTTTAAAGTAATGTTTATCTTGAAGGATTTAAGGAGGATTTGTTATATTTGGACTATTGTAATAAAACATTGAACATGGATCAGAGTAAGCTGTCAAGTTTCATGACTCTTCATGAGGAACTAAATAAGAACTGTAACTAATGACTAAGACCATAAACTTCACAGGAGAGTGTTTATTGATTGATTTATTGACCCTGTTATTGTAGGGTCTACCTTACAATATAAAGCACCTTGAGGCGACTGTTGTTGTGATTTGGCGCTATGTAAATAAAATTGAATTGAATTAAAGCCATACATTACACACACATAATCTTTGTCACCCCCTGTGGCAACGTGGCAAAATGATAATTTACTCATCTAAAATCTGTCAGGCAGTCAGTAATCCAAGAGATGGTGGGATAATGTTTCTGGCATTTCCCGTAGCTTCTCTCTCAGGAGCGGCTATACTGTATACAATGCTCTTGAGAAATCAAAGAAGGAAGCCCATTTGTACCATGCAGCCATTACTAGAAGTGGTATCCAAATATTGGTAGACTCAATACCAACACTGGCATATGTATTGGATCGATACTGTGCGATAGGATCTATACTTAGATACATACATACATCAGAAAGGAGACATGTCTGTGTAAATACTGGTCCTTTCAATAAGTCACACTTAACAAGTTTTATTTTTGTGATAGCTGTTGCTTTAGAAGACTGATTACCTATTAACTATTCAGGCATTCAAATAATAATGAACAGTCATTAAAAACGTGTTTTGACAGGTTGATGATAATTTAGTTCATAAGTCATGTCATGCTGCTCTTAAGCTGCCTTTAAGTTAAAAGTATCTGTATCGGTATAGGTATCGACAATACTCCCTCCAGTATCTCGTGTTATGAAATCGTGCTTCAGCTGGAAACTCTCAACAGAAGAGCGCTATATTTCTGTCTGTATGGTGACCAAGAAAGCGGAACTCTAGTTTGTCCCTGTTTCACCGGAAAACATATGCGGACGGACACTGCTAATTTTCCTGACAAAACAAACCCAAACCTACTCAAATGTATCAGTTTTTTGTTTCCCTAACATTTATCAGGCGACATGGCGTACTCAGTAATATGCTGACACATTACTAGCTAAGTAGCTAGTCCTTGTCATTGGTATTTGTGTTAATTTCTCGGAATAGCTCGATAGTATTTTTAGCTAAGGTTAGATGCTAATCGCGTAACATCCTGCAGGCTGTCCCATTAACAGCATTAGTTGCACGGTCTAATGCTAGCCAAACCAAGTGCCAGTAGGTCGCATACGTCTTAGAACAACAGAGTCACAGGTCGGTCTTGTCGGGTGTAGCTGACACAAGCGCCAGGGTGGAGTTAACGGTGTGGGGTCTAGATCGTATTGGATAATTATGCAACGTTGGAATTTTGATGAGACACCAGTGGGTGAAGATCGTTGCCAGCTGGGTTGGCTGTTGCTTTGTCAGTGAAGTCATGCATGACGTGAACTTTGTGTTGCTCAAGAGAAGCCTTTCCACCGTGTAGCGCCGAAGCCATCCTCAGTGAGAGATCTCCGCTGTTTACCTGCAAAATGCCTGGAATGGTGGTGTTTGGTCGGCGCTGGGGGATAGCCAGCGACGACCTGGTCTTCCCGGGCTCCTTTGAACTGTTCATCCGTATACTTTGGTATGTTGATTACTCTCGTGAATACTGAAACACCTTTGCTAACCTAAGCCTGTCTAACTCGGCGCATTAATATAACTGACTTTGTTGTTGTCTTTCTCCAGGTGGATTGGCACCATGGTGTTATTCATTTATCACAAGGGTCACTTCGAATGTAACGGGAGAGCAGTTCTTCATAGCTACCTGGTTGGACTGCTGGTTGTGCTGGCACTCATCATCCTCTCACTGTGTGCTATTGTCTACATCAGTGCTCAAGGTAAATTAGTTGGGGTTCATTAGAGGTCCGCCTCCTTAGTGCACACACAAGGGCCACAACCTTAACCTGAAAATGACTGAACTGTAACAGAGCAACCTAGGAACCGCAAGTAAGCCTGCAGTCTAAGAGCGAAGAGCTCTAATTGGGTGATGCTGTACCCAGTACTATAAGGTCATTAAGATAATTTGGGGCCTGATTATTCAAGACCTTGAATGTGAGGAGCAGGATTTTAAATTCAGTTCTGGATTTAACAGGAAGCCAATGAAGAGAAGCCAGTATCGGATAAATATGCTGTCTCGTTCTAGTCCCTGTCAGTACTCTTGCAGCAGCATTTTAGATCAACTGAAGTGAACCCTGAACTGAACAATGCCATTGAGTCATTTCCCGTTTGCTTCTTTAGCAACATATATTGAGCATCTCCTTTTTATTGTGTAAGAGTTTTCTGATGGGGAAAATTGGCAAATCCTAACCCATGCATTAGACCGTGCTCGAGAAGAAGGAGTGTGTCTTTTCCACACCTGCACTTTTCTAGAAAATGCCCAACAGAGGAGTGTATCACTAGTCATTCAGATATGAGTAGTCTTTTACGGGCTAGCTCCCTAGTACAGAGTACATATGATGGGGGAATAGAGCAGCTAGCGAGTGGGCATCCTGTAAGCTCCCTGCATGCTCTATTCTGGCAGCTTCTTGACTTAAATCTAATGGAGAATTTGGGGTAGTGTGGATACTTCTGAAGCGCACATTTTTCATGCTGTGTGCTACATGTGAGAAAGGACAGCTGTGAAGAATATTTTGATTTAATTCTCCTGCCTTTTCCTTCTTCATGTTGGGCGGAGAGCTGACTGAATGCTGGACTAACTTGTTGTCGCATCAAGTTGCGTTTTCTAAAAGATGTTTGCTAAGGGATAGCTGGTTAGAATACTAACTTTAGATGAAAACAGTTAAAACTGTCGCAGACCATAGCATGCATCAGTCCAACACGTGATTGGCTCACATGTTTTCTGGTTTGGCTGGTGATTGGCTCTTTGCAGAAACAATTTTACTGATTTGAAAGTTTTCAAACTAACACTCTTATATGTTGCACATTTAAAGATCTGCCTATCTGTTATGGAAGTTTCTTTCTGTATCTTTAGTGTAAATTAATTTTTACTCTGTCAGGTACCATTACAAACCCCGGCCCACGGCGCTCTATGCCTGCGCTGGTGTACCTGCGGGCGATACTGTATGTCCCTGAGCTGGTGTGGGCCTGTCTGGGAGCTGTCTGGGTGTCGGATGATGGCCGTGGCTGTGATCCTGCCACGGTAGGAGCCGTTATCTCGGCAGTTGTCGCCAGGTAGGTTGTTCAGGTGTGAGGATTTTGGTTTATTCAACTAGTTAATTAGTTAACGTTGCTTTGATCAACCTTTTCCCCCTCGCTTGTTTCTGTTGTGGCAACAGCTGGATCATCCTGCTGTTCACGGCCGTGGGGGTAGTGTTTGTTTTTGACCCACTGGGAAACCCTCGTCCTCAGCCTCCTGCCATGGAGCCGCTGGGAGTGCGAGACATGCAGAGCAGCGAGGGCACCCAGTTTCTATCCACGGCTCGCTCACTCGCTGTTAAAGTGTGGGAGAGCAGGCTGCGGCTCCTATGCTGCTGCCTGCCGCAGGACGAGAGCTCCCGGGCAGCGTTTTCCAGCATCTCTCAGCTCTTCAGCAGCTTCTTCTCTGTAAGAGATTTTTGAAACGAAGCAGAATACAGGCTGAAAAAAAGAATGTATTTAACATTAAAATAAGCTGCGTCGAATATAATTTCCACTGATGCAAAACCCACTGTGAGATCCTCTCTGTCATGCTGCAGGACACAGATCTGGTTCCAAGTGACATAGCAGCCGGTTTGGCTCTGCTGCACCAGGAGCAGGATAAGATGGAGCGAAGCAGAGATCCTGATGTCGTAGTCCCTCACAGCCCTTCCTCTCCTGTAGTAAGTCATGATTCATGTAGATGAAGTCGAGCTCATGCTGTGAAACCAGCAAAGCAGAATCCTACTTATTTATTTACCATTTCAAGGGAGAGGATCTGGAGGACGAGCTGGAGAAAGCCACCCACTGGATGCAGTTTGCTGCGGCGGCTTACGGCTGGCCGCTGTACATTTACTCCAACCTCTTTACCGGGCCCTGCAAGCTCAGTGGAGACTGGTAAGATGCTGTGCGCGTTGGAATCAGCGGAACCTTTGGTGAGACGAGTAACCCAAATCCTGAATCACGTGTTTCAGCTGCAGGAGTCGCATAGCCGAGGACGAAATCGTTGGAGGAGATCACCTCGGCTGCCACTTCTCATCCATCCTACAAACCACTGGTTTGCAGTACAGAGACTTTATCCACGTCAGCTTCCACAACCAGGTGGGGCTTTCACTCGCCATTTACGTTACATAAGGTTCAAGTTGAAGGCCACCTCCAGCCTCACGACAGCACATCTAAGCACACGTGGTATGTTGCAGATCTATGAGATCCCCTTCTTCGTGGCTCTGGATCATAAGAGGGAGGCGATTCTGGTGGCTGTCAGAGGAACTCTTTCACTGAAAGTGAGTTGGGACCTATTTTTTCCCCCCTTTTCCCTTGCCAAAAATAGTATGGGGTATCAGCTGTCTAAGTATGGATTGTTTGTTGTATGTTTGGTGTTTTTTTTTTTTTCTTCCCTTCCCCACAGACAGCCCTCTCATTCTTATTTTGAAAGTTGATGCTTACCAGCTAGACATGAGGTTTCCTGTCTTGTGTTTACTTGCTGGCAGGCTTTGATGTCACTCCACCAATCTGCCTTTGTGTCCTTGCTTTATATCACAGGACACCTTCAGAAGTCTTTTTCTGGCAGCTTGAGATATGAAACAAAACAATTATATGGTGGTGATTTTAGAATCATGACTGATCCATGCGTGGTGCTTTCCTCATACACAGACTTTAAGTGGCTAACCCATGTGTATTTTCAACTCATTTTCTTTTTCATCCCTCTGAGAGAACAGAGCTATCCACCATCACATTAATAGTGGACATTCCCTTTGTTCATATTTTGAAAAAAGCAGCTTTTGTACCGGCCTTTTCTGTGTGACAGATACAAAATCCAAAGAATACACTCAGAGCCACATTTGTAATGCTTACTGTCTATTCTTGTCTCTTAATTTTCAGTATCAC